TCGTTGACAGATGCTACGAGGACAAGGTTGTTGTACCAATAACTGTAGTTTGTGAGTGTGAGCCGTGTGACAGATAGACGCGGGCTGTCATGGGAGGAGGACAGTTCCATGGTGGATGCGAGGACAGCTGCGGAGGGGGGGAAATATGTGAAGGAAAGGAGGGGAGTCTCAGGGGGAGGAATGGTTGGTGTGTGAGTGGAGATGGACGGCCGGGGGCAGGTGGGGGTGTTTGTGCGATTGATGATCGGCCGTGGGCCGGTTGGGTATTTGTGTGAGGTGATGATCGGCCGTGGGCCGGTTGGATGAGGGTTGATGGAAAGGGGATGAGGGGGGTGGGCAGTGGAAGCGGAAAAGGAAAAGGGCCTATAACCTGTAAGAGAAACTCAAGACCTTGGTCGTCGTGATTACTGTGGGAGGAGCGACGGCGGTGTTAGTACCGGTGGAGCTATGTACACGTGTAAGATCCGACAGTCTCCTTGGTCGTGAACGGCAACGCTGTTGCTATTGCAGGTCGGTTTTCCTGCCGTTGTCTGGATGGCTCCATTCCAAACACATTTTTTCAATTTTTCGGAGTGTGGCCTATCCCAATTCCGTACAGCCGTTTATTGGTATGGGTACGAAAATACTGTAGTCTATTTTAATTTGTGTTCAACGTACTTCGCGGGGACCCTAAAAATAGTGTAGGCTAGACTAAATCCCATTAACGGGTGTAGTGATACATTGGTTGCTTTTTAATGGAGAAAGTGCTCTTTGAAACTATAAGACTACGTCTGCTGAAACAGTCATAAAGCAAACGAAATTAATATCTAATTCATCAAACGAACGGAATTGGGAATAGGGTTCAGAAGATGTGACCAAGATGCAAAATAGAGGAAGTAGAGTCATTTTATCAGCGAAAAACGGAGTCCACTTTCCGAAAGTTATAATATTAACCTTCTTATCCAAAGCAACAAGACATGCAGAAATGAAGATCGTGCCCTCTTCTTGGGACTGACAAGTCATTCCTCGTTTAGATGCGACGCGAAGAAGAACGTACTCAACTCTTGTGGATATAGTGAATGCAATAATGCTTCTCATCGTTTGAGAGCCGACGGTACTTCCTCAACACATAACAGACGCTCGCCCTCTCGCCTATTGACCACTTAGGCAAGGGCGAGGACGGTGATATCTAGATGTTGGGGATATAGTGAAGTGCCCTCTCACGACCTCGACGCCAGCGCACGACTTGCTCGAACGATGTCATGATGAGCGCCAATGAACGGCATCAACACAACTGCTCTAGATCGACTAGGTGCAATAATATGTAATGCACAGACGACGCGAGCGTTATAGAGCGAGAAATGTCACTAGCCAGAAACCTCTTGCTTAGCACCCTAACCCCATTCCCTAAATATATATTTGGGGTACCCTTGTCCAACCGGCGGGTTGCGTGTCAGCCATCAGATTAGCGCCTCCGCCAGATGTCCCAGTGTTGAGACATGCAAATCTCCTGGATACGTGCAACGAGAAACTATTGAGCAGCGAGAGGATACGCTGCCAAAATCTACAACTATCATATCAACGACGTTTTCTCCCTCAACATTGGTGTCGTTGTTCTGTGTCGAAACGAAGATAGCCTCCCTTGCCAAAGCCGGACACCGTGGCGCTTTCAAAGAGCTTTCCGTTCAAACCCCTTTGCCGCACACTCAAAAGCAGTGTCCTTTTGTAAGGCTAACTTCCTCGGGTGTGTATGAGGTGAGCGCGAGGGAGGGAATAACCCTATGACATAAGTGGTTTCCCGTATGGGGTGAAGGTGAGCAAAGGGCAGGTATCACAGCGGAGCGCTCGTCTTGCTTTCGGACACGAGTATATCCTTACATTTTTTGAAGACTCATTTTCTGCGGTTTCTGTGATGCCAACACGATCGAAACGATGCAAGGGTGCGTTACCTTCGTTCACTGGGCGTTAGAGCTGAAAATCAATGTTAAAGGCAGTTCAACTGCATCATCACACATGCGCCATATAGAAAATAATATTGCGCCTTGTCACCCGACACACGGCATGATCTGCGACGAGTGGTATTTGCAGTGTAGACGGCGGTTGGGGAAAGTGGCTTTTTGTTGGAATCAGGTGATGCACTGCCAGGCATAGCGGAGCTTGGTTTGCAGATTGGGTAACACGGCGGGTTTGGTGAGACAGGGACGTAGTTTTAGAGGCAAGGTACCCCCAGGTAGGGTGTGTACTATAGTGCGACAAGTAACAGGAGGGGAACGTAATGGCAGGAAGTGGGGACTCTTGAAAAAACAGAGGGCAATGAGCGTGGGTCGATGGTGTGCGACAGACACATGAAGGGATCTATCTGGGGTGGATTTCAGGGGAGATGGGAATGGAGAGAAAGCCCTGTGTCGGTGGTTGTCGAAAAGACTTTTCGTCGATGGTGTAACCGTTCAGTCCCTAATTCATTTTTTTCTGTTTTCGAGACTAAGCTGGATAGATTTAAACCAAAAAAATACCATTTCTTTAGCGATTTGGACACTTCAAAGAGTCGAGCGCATCTTCAAACGAAAGCGCATCTGTAGCACAAGCAGACGACTTAAGATATAGGCACCCGCTCCGACGACACGTCAGCCAATAACATTCAAATGAAGCATGTTTAACGAGATTTTCCTAATTCGTATATCTGGCGCATTCAACAAAAAGCGACGTGGCCCATCAATCGGGCCTCAAATGCACGCCTCACAGCCCTCATTTTTGCACTTTGTCTACGAACCCTCCTTGTGTGTAAAAATAAGAATCTGAAGGAAATGTGGTGGTGGCTCCCGGATGCGATTTGTGCTATCCTATAAATGGTAACAACCGTGCCTGCATATGCAGCTGTGGTGAAAATGCCACTGTACCCGAGGGTACAACCAACAGCAACCATGCCAAATCCCCTCACTCTTTCTTTCTCTCTCTCCTCTCACAGCACATGCCTCATATCCAATAAACTGTCACAGCACACGCAACTACAGCATTGGCACCTATTTACAGTAACTTTCAGTTAAGCGCCTTAACTTTACTTTTGGCTCGAGCAAAGTTCAGTTCATAGGAATCGCAAAACAAACCCCAGCTCGATGAAAACCTTACACCCCATCTCGAGAAGCCCATTCATGCTGCTACGATGAACCTGTCTGTGCCAACATTGCCATATAGCAAAGAAGACGGTGCGCTCTTGCAATTCCTATCGGCTTCACACACCGAATCTTCCCACAAGAGCTCCATGATCGACTAATCCTCCGTAAGTGCTCCATGAAAAACGCAGATGTAGCGCCAAAGGGAGCTGAAAGAGCTGCTGCTCCAGTTGGTAGACAACGTCAGGACTCAATGTGGGCTGTCTGTAAACATGCGCTGTCGGGTGGCGCCGTGTGGCCAGAAAGGGCGGGTGTGAAGATGCGAGGCGTCATATGAGGCGTACTACACATCTTAAGAGGGGTGAGAAGTTTTATATACCAGCTCCGTACGCAACGGCAGTGAAGGTGCGCAGGGCTTCTGGAGGTATCGTGGAGCGCGGGGAGAAGTGCTGAGCATGTCTAAGCGCAATAGGATGCACCCGCTAATAGTCCAACGTCCATCGCTATCATGCCTTCTCTGCCCCTCTCTTACCCCCTAACGCTACCCTTCTCCACCACAGGCCCGCACAAGCCATCTTCTCTAAACCGGATGCGAGTCAATCGATAGTGACCTGAATACCCCTGATCGTCCCTCTCCCAGATGCGTTGATCGCAGGGGCAGGGGCAGGGCCAGCCTCATTCTATGGGGGCGTAGACGTGGGAAAGCCCGCTCCCGTGCCCTTGGCGACTATTGGCGCTTGCAGAGGCAACGACAACATCAGCTGCACTAGAAGCGGCCGGCCATCCACTTTCAGGTGGTGGGACAGGGGCCGTTGCTTGTAAAGAACACGGCATCCTACTGCAAAGAGCCGGCACGCGCGGCTTTCTGAAGAGAACGTGGGACATGAAGTGACTGCTGATGGTCGAGGTGAAAAGGCGGGGATCATGGAAGGATGTACGTAAAAGTGAGGGCGGTGGAATCTGACGCGTTGGTTTGTAGAGACATGTCGGGAGGTTGCAATGCAGACGACACATGGGCGCGACAGAGTGTTGAGCTCGAGAGTATCGCAGACTGGCTCCGTTTCCGCACACATTTACTTTCCCGTCTCGTTGCAATTCTCCTTTCTCAGCCCATGCGAGGGGTGGAGCGCGAGAACGAGCGGCTGGTGCGGCGGACGAGGGCGCTCGCGGAGAGGGTGCAGGTGCAGGTGCTGGTGGGGATGGCGAGGCGGCGCGGAGTGCGGACGGGGGGCGGAGATGTGGGAGAGAGAGTACGAGTACGTAGCCGGCACAAGGGCGTGGCGGAATGTTACTTTACTTGCACCCCTTATGAATTACAGTAACAGCGAGGATACAGTGAGGGTACAGCGAGGATAGTATTCTGCAGAAACGTGTAACACGTGTTCCAGCAGAGTTGCAGCTGCCAAACAGGAAACTCAGAGCATCCCCACCGGTAGAATCAAATACCCAAACAACTAAAATTTGATGATTTGATGTCGATTGAAACCCGTACCGGTGCAACCAAATCATCAAATTTTTGGTGTCGATCTAAAAATCGAAATCAAATATCAGGAATTTGGTTCGGATAGTCTCTGTTTGATTACTCTTGACAATCCAGTTGTGCACGTTCTATTGGTCGACCGAAACGGCTTCCCACCAAAAAGTGCATCGATGCGGTATTTGCCTCGAGATTACCAGTGTCTCCCGCCGATCCAGAATGCTCACTACGGCGTGCATGCTCTTCCCCCTTCCATCCCTCCAGAACGTCGACGGCCCCGCCATCCCTGAGCGCGTCCTTCCCCGCCCGGCTCTTACGCAACAACAACACTTCCTCGACCAACCAGGCGCGAATCTCCGCCATCTCCTCCCGTCCCACCTCCTTTGACCTCCCCAAGCACATTGCGACCGCCGCCGTACCCCCACCAACACATCATGGCACTCGTCCGCCATCGCGCAGTTCCGCACCCAGCTCGCCCCCGCCAGCCTCTTCTCTGCCTCCCCCGCCTCCAGCAATCTCGGCAACCTCGTCAACAGCTGTCTCTCCGCCTGCCTTCCCTCGACCAACAGGACGTCTCTCCCCTCCTGGCTCGCGCACGCATTCGACAGCCGCAGCACATTCGGAATACTCGGTACCCTCTCCACGAGCACGAGTAGCGTGCCCCTCTCCCGAAACGCGTCCGCGCCCTCCGCTTCGTCCACGCCCGGCGCGAAGCGCGTCAGGTTGGACAGCAGCGCCGCGTGCGGCGCGACGACGTCCGCGTCCAGGACCACCTGCGCTGCGAGCCGCACCGCGTCCGCGTGCGTCAGAGCCGCCGGCTCCTCGTCCTCCGACAGGTTCACAAGCGCAGACAGTGCTAGAGCAGTGCGATTCGCTGCTCAGCAGCAGCAGCCGCCGCAGGAGAACGTCGCTCGCGGCTGTCGAGCCAATCATCCGCCGCAGCACCGCTGCCGCCGGCGCTTATGTTCTCTCCGGGATCGCGCTGCTCGCGGTCGCGTGGGGAGCGCGTGCTGTCCGTGAGCAGGGAGGACAGCGCCGGCAGTCTGTCTTTGTCCACGGTGGAGGTGAGAGGGAAGGAGTGCAGACAGACTGGCGAGGGAGAAGGTCGCGGGATGGGTTTCGAGTGAGCGTGCGACTACGACTGAGGGTGCGATACGAGGGTGAGTACGAGTGTGAGTACAAGGATGCGATGGTGAGTACGAGGGGAATGTACTTCATTTGGTTCTCACCCTGTCTTAAAGGAGGCCCTCCGGTGGGGCAGTTCTTTCCGAAGCATCAAACAGCCAAATAACGAAACAACCAAATTCTAGGGAGCCAATCAAATTACAGAAAAAGTGTGCCAAGTGTTGTTATTTGATGATTTGATTGCGTACCGGTGGGGATGCTCTAAGGAACCTGTCCGAGGCCCCACTCGTGTCCCCGGTCGGCTGTTCAACGGCCAGGTGCGCGGGGACCTCTCCGCTGCCGACCGTATGACTCAAGCTGACGGGTGGTGCTCCTACACCCCAAGTACCAAGCCTGTCACCCCTGTCACCCATACTTAGCTCCCGTGCGGGTACTGGGCCACAATCCGTCGTTGGGGGGCGAGGAGCCTGGTGGCGTAGGTCGGCCGACCCGACCGAGAAACGTCCCGGGCCAGCAGTGAACAGGTCAGTCTCGGTGACGTTGACCCCATGCTGCACGATGACACGTGAGTCCGCCCACAGCGTATCTAGCCGTAGGCCAGCAGCCCGAGCCGTCCGCATTCCATTCTCGGTCAAAATCCGGTCCGCGGAATCCTGGTCGCCGGCCCGAAGTGACTTGACTGCCTCCTCAAAAACAGGGATTAGGGCGTTGGACACTGCCGACCACCCTTTGTTGAGCAAAAGGTACGATTTGTCCTCCGAGCACAACGCGCAGCAGCGGTAGCACCCGATGGCCCTCCAACCCTTCCAGCTAATCAACACCCCGGGAAGTCGGACTAACCCGGAACAGCCGTGTCTCGGGCACCCGGTAAGACTGCCTGTACGGCGTCGCGGGGACTCGCGGACAAGTATCATGTGCACGCCCCCCTCTTCGACATTATGGTTGAGCCAATCCCATGCACTCCGCATAGCTGCTGAGGCCCGAACGTCGCGAGGGGTGGTAGATGTCCTGCGGGCAATCTGCCGTGCAGTGATATGCACGCTCTCCCTAACCGTGACTCGGCTGGTGCTTTCGGTGAAAATCGATATCTGCCCGGACTCCCCCTCTGCGATTCTGACGCACACTCTAGACCTTAGAGTGATGCTGCCCACGGCCTGCCTGGGTTCTTCGTAACCTCCAGGCTCTCTAAAACTCATGCTGAAATCACGTATAGGTGCTATCACCCGACCAGCCGTCATACCAAGCGATAACATATTTAGTTGTCAACTGCTTCATCGCCAAACTTACCTGCAAGATCCGCCCGGTACGTCGCCTCCTCCTTAGTAGCCACTATGTGTATATGCCCGTCACGAGCCGCAAGCCATCTCCGACCCAGTATGGAACATAGCTTCCGCTCATCTGGGTCAAGTATGCCGGTGGCGACAATCTGCCCCGCGTACAAGGGCCCGACTGATGACCCGTTCCCGTCACAGCACTCCCGAAACAAGGAGAAGAAACAGTTTTCAACGGGGTGTATAGGAATATGGTAGGGGCTTAACGCCATAGTACGTATAGCGTGTACGGCCGGCGTCCTACTGCACCTACCCAACATGCCGTATGAGCTGTCGGCATAAAGACATGAAAGAGCGCTGCCCACCCTGGAACAAGCTGCCATTTTAGGAAATCTGACGTTCGGGTAGCCGGCCACACTCGTCCAGTCGCCATCCATGATCAGACTGAGTGAACGCTCCAGTCTCGAATCAACAAAGGCGCTCCTACCACCGGACCCTACCACGTATACGCCCGACTGCCGGCATCGACCGCACCGCATATCGCCATCGTAATCCACCCATTTCGCGGCATTGGCGGCGTCGTACAGGTCAGTGACGTAAGCGTACAGGTGCACCCCTTCTCCCAACTCGTCGATGAATACCGCTAGGTCGCTACCGCCGCCCAAATCGTCCCAATCCGGTGCGATGGTCCCATCAACAAACGCGTTCACCGTCAGTCTCCTACTGTGGTAGCACTCCTGCGGCCACCACGAAGGGCAAAAAGATTCGCACTCCAGCCAGGCAGGCGGCTTTGTGTCCATGAATGTCTTAGTCATGGACCGCCAGGCGTCCGGCACACCAGCAGGTCGAGAGTGATACCTAACATAAAAGGCCCGACCGACTGCCGGAAATGGCACATTGAACTCGACCGACGGGACATCCCTCAAGGGGGCATCACCTTCTTCGACATCCTGGACCGCACCAGCAGCAACCAGGTTGCCGAACTCATCATACATAGCTCGGGACTCAGCCATATAGCTCAGCCACCCGTGTTTGATGTTGGACGACCATAGTGATACAGCTAAGTCGCTAACCGCATCTATCCAAACCGTAAGACCTCTATATTTAAGCTGAAACCGATGGCCAACCGTTGTATAGCTCCAATCGTGGTATAGAGTCTCCGGACATGCAAATTTTGCACGTATCCAAAGTCGCATACATCCCAGGGAATCGGACAGAGCCCTTCTTCCTGGCACAACTTGGTGGACTGAGCCCACTGTAGAGCAATATGCCGCCGGGAAGCGTTGAACACTCGGATGGAATCTTTGGCACTGTACTCTGGCTTGGGGTCCTCATCACCAGTGGTCCCGATGACGTCGTCGCTACTGTGTGATCTACGCCGCGACCAAGGGTAATCTGGGTCAGGGGGGGACACATCACCAACTCGGCGGCGCGGTCCACGACTAGCATCGCACACACCGACTGTCCCCCAACCTTGCGACTCGCTGTCTGTGAGCGTGCCGCTGAGTGCCGACGACGCGAGGTCGCGCTCCTGCTCCCCGCGTCCATGCCTGTCGGCGCGACTCACAAAGTGAGTCGACTGGCCTTCTATAGCCCGCGTAATGGCACGAACTACAGGATGCGGGTCTTCAACAACATGGTAACTGTTGCGCCTGCAGCCCTGCTCACAATGCACACGGCATCGTCGGCAGCGCGTGCAGCTTCGCACTGCGTGACAGTCTCCGACCACGCACTTGGGGCACGGACAGTGCGTTTCACACCTTCCACATACATGAGTAGCGTTCCATGCGCATCGAGAAATGCGCCCGGACGACGTGGTAGTGACAAATGAGCACCTAGTCATTGTGGTAGCACATACTCAACCCTCGGGTCCCATGATGAAACCCCCGCACGGTCGGAGGATCGGCCCTGACTACGCCATAAAGCAAAGAGCAGGTCGGTCCCTTCTTTCAGCCATAAAAATGACTGAAGAGTGGTACGCCCCCCTCGACTCGATACAACACCACAAACTAAGTTTACCTCGGTGGGCGAGGTACGGAGCCGGAGCAGCGAATGTTGTTACGTCGCTGCAGAGTGGAGAGGAGAAAGCGCGGTAAACGTTTGAATAAACTGCGAAAATTCGTGAGCGGGGAACAGCGAAGCGACGGCTTTTATTTATATAGAAGGTAATTCTTCCAGCAAATTTGTACAATTATTTCACTAAATTTTCTAATTAGTTACACCGGGCCGGGGGCACGTAACAGTTCAACATCGCATCGACGTCGTCAACCTTCTCAATAGCGCGCTCATACAGCTCCATAGATCGCACCGCGTCACGCTCTACTCCTCGGTACCCTCTTTGAGCAAAACACTGAGGTTCACCATCATCGTACAGACTTTGTGTTCTTCGATCGCAGTTTCGTACAAAAGTTTCGCTTGTCTCTAGCATCACAACCCACCCCTCGTACCCCCCTAGCGCAAAAATATTCTGAGGTTAATCATGGCCTGTGTGCTTGAATTCTCATCCTGACTTCCCGCATAATGGAGGGTTTAAACAAGCACATTTCTGATTTTCTCTTTCTCGCACTAGTAAACCGAGAAGCCCACTGTCCGGCAATACCCAGCACAATCCGAAGTCCTTCTCTTGAAAACAACGTCGCGTATTCGCTTATCGTGCGTTCCAATAAAGCCTTTCTAACAAGATCATACGTCATGAAGTCACACTCGGTCAGCTCTCCTTCAGAGAAAAAGGCTTCCTTACCAACACCATTGCCTTTTGCTTCCCTCCACTTCACATCCCCGCCACTTCCAACGCACAAGTCCGAAAAATAGGCAATCGTGTCCAACTGATTCCATTTCCGGGAACAAACAATTTGGCATCAAAGGCTTTGATCATTTGCGCTGCTTGTATCAAGTTCAATGTCCTCGCCACATACATCATTGTTGATCCCAAATCCGACAGAATTCTCACACGTCTGAACCGAGCGTAAATTTCATTCCTCTCCAGTGCCGCTACGCTGAGCAAAAAAGTGGCCCTCCCGAAATGTTCATGTCAATCAGATTCTCCGCCCTACCAATCAAGTCCTCGATTTCTTCAGTCTGGTTAGACATCGCTGTGCCACTTTCCACAACCCTCGTGCCTCCCATAAGCAGTGGTTCTCTCACAGTGAGACACTCATCACGGAGACTCACGCATTGCTTCTGCATAACCGACAGAGCATCTCTTTCCCACGATACGGTCAACAGTATAAGGCAACGTCTTGTCTCTCCCAGAAAGGGTCACAGGCCCCAGTGTCAAGGCAGACTGCTCCAGAAGTCTCCCACTCTCAACTGCAAGTTTGCAAAGTTTCTTTCGGAACGGTTTCCATCCCGCCCACAAAATCATGCGCACTCCCTCTTATCGCTGAATCCAGAATCCGCAAACCCGAGTCTATTGCGAGTCTCAACGTACGGAATTCCACTCCTTCCATGATAGCTCCGCAGACAGACCCACAACTTTCTCCCACACCGTTTTCCTTTCTCCACTTTTAAACAAAACAGGTCTCCAAGCCCTGGCCTGTGCATCTTCCTTTCCTTCCACTCATCTTCCAAGTTTTGTTCGCGAGCTCAATCAGCTCCCCGGTCTTCTTCACCATTCGGGTCTCACTCGACACCAAATGAAAGCACCGTTCCTGCAGCGGGAACGCACTCAGACTGACGATGCTTCTCCCCTCCACAATTTCCCCAAGGAAGTTCTCCCTGATCCCCAGCTGCTCCTGCAGATTCTCCAGTGCAAAATCATTGTGCGGCAACGGCTCGAACTCTCTTTCGTCCAGCTTGGTGTTCTGGTGGGCCTCCGTTTTTGACATGTCAACGTTATGCATAACGCCCCCCATGTTCACCAAGATCGCCAGCCACTCCACTCTCTCGATATGAAACCCCTCCATTTCTTTCACCAATGAAACCTGCATCTCCTGCATGATCCCCGATAGCTTCAGAGCGTACGTCCTGTACCCCTTTTCAGCTGACTCCATCATATTTACCTGTCTTGCGTCAAACGGAAAACCCCAGCCTGACTCGGCCACCCCTCGCAATACTTCTGTCTTCGACACATCTGAGTCTTCACCCGTCAGTACGCAACTTTCCAGTCACAGCACTAATCCAGCCATGGCTAACACTCGGCTTACAGCGTAGTCCCGTTGATTCTCGTACTGCTGCATATTGTTCAAACCTGACAAATCTTCGTCCTCTTTTGCGGCAACTCGAAACTCCTTCACCCACCCTCCCAGCCCTTGCGGAGCAAACGCTACAGACCACCGCAGGCAAACCTCCTCTGGTTTGTAAGACATCTGACGCGCTTTCGGCACACTCTCTCCCCCAAAGCATTGCCGCAACACCGTATGATACACGTATCGGATTGTTATGGACAGTACACGCACCAGTATCATTGTGCCCTGGAGAAAAATGTCGC